TGATAATAAAGGGTGTCCCAAAATTAACGAATCTATAAGTTATTAGAGTATATCAAATATAATTACAGTTGTGCAGAACTGAAATCTGAGAACAATTTAAATTATTGATAGAAGCTAAGTTACTATTAAATAGAAATACCAATAGTGTTAGTAGATTCATAAACAAGCCAAGTATATTCAAATGATAGTAGAATCGAAGAATATTGCTAGAATTTTGCAGATTCATTAGATCTAACAATCTCCTGGTCAAAGAAAGATTATTGGTAGACTATACCATTTGTAGACAAAATTTACAAGAAAAAGGATTTTGCATCATTTTTAGTATTTTTTTTAAATTTTTGATACACAATTCCAAACTAATTCTATATTTCTGTCACTAAATAATACTTGTCCATTCCACAATCAATGAAACCTAAAAGTGCAATTTTCTGTATACTATACATGAACATCAAAAAAATTAACCAACTGGAAATAATACTAACAATTAAATTTCTGCAATATTAAAAAACAAAACATGGAAAGATTACAAATGGAAATCATGTAAAAATGAAAGAAGGATTAACCAGAATATGAAAAATCAAGACATAGATCTACTTGCTATAAAACAAAAACTATCTAGATATAATATGTTTTCAAACTATAACCAAATTTAACAAATACTCTGTACCAATACTTAATTATAAAAGAGTTTTGAAACTTCGATTGGTCTTTAATTAACTGAATTAATCTTCAAAATGTAAAAGTAATTAACAAATATAAAAAAGCAAGTACATAAAAAACCCGTATTCATAATTAAAAACCACGTTATTTTTAGCTTGTTTCATTTAATTGGCAATCGATATATCTCCTTTATGTGGGTGGAATCCAAAGCTGCAAAGCCTGTTATTAGTTCCAAACATTAATTAATTAATTAATTAATGGAAGTACGTCGTATTTGCGTTCGAATTTTTATGGAAATTCATAAAGATCTGAGCAGCAAAAAAAGTATATATATGTATATAATAAACGTAGGGGGAGACGGATAATAAAAATGCGTTCGGGGGATTTTTGACTGAAGAGCTTTTGCTCAGAGATGAGAGCAGGGAAATTATTTGTATTTTCTTTTTTATATGTATATGTGTGTGTATGTGTATTTTCCGTGGGCCACGCGGAATTTCCCCTGGGATCGATTAATACGCGACTGTGGCGTGGGAGACTTTTATTGAAAACTAATTTCCCTGCAAGAGGAGTTGGAGGAAAAGAGAAAGAAGTCGTTCCGAATCCCCCTTTGGCATCATTCATAATTCACAATCGGCTTTCCGTTTTCTGTGAAGAAGATGCCGCAGCGGTGGGGGAGGAAAATTGCGGAGGAGACGTCGGTACGATAACGAATGGAATGGGAAAGAGCAACGACGATGGTTACCATTTATTATGGAAAGAATGAAGAGAGAGAGAGAGAGAGAGAAAGGAAAAGAGAGTGGCTGGGAGTTTAGGGAAAGAGATGGAACGGTAGAAAAGCGGAAAGTTAATTGCATTAAGTGGAGTGAAGTAATTAATCAATCAGAGGGAATTTATGAAGGATCGATTTATGTGTGTGTTTTCGACACTATTTGCTGACTGCAGCCATAAATGCTCGTTGATGCTTGGGTCAGCGATAAATTCCTCTGCGATTTTACCGCAAATTAATTATACTTACCTGCAATTTCTATAAACCGATTGTCAACTATTTTCCAAATACTTTCATCATTATTCATCACTACAATTGATTTATATAAAATCATACATCCAAAATACAAATTTTCAATTTAGGTGTTTTTTTTTCAGTTTTTATGTTTTCAACAAATTTTTTAAAATTAGATATGTCTGCAAAATGAAGATATTATAAATTTAATAATTTATATATCAACATGGGTTAATTTAACTCAAAAAATATGTTTACAGGTTGGATTTAAAGTGTTTCGTAACATAATCCCATTGTACGTGCTTTTAATGTTGAAAATAACATTTTTACACACGCAAAATTGGGGATAAAATACATATTGTGCGTATTATACACGAGATTTAGGTAAACTTTGGACACGCATGGAGTGTGTATTGTACTCGAAAATTATGTAAATATTATTATAACATGTAATTGAAAATTTATCAGGAATTTGGGCAAATAACTGATAAAGTTCTTCGAAATAAATGGATACCTTACTAAATCAATCGTATTCCACATGAAATATAATGTTTATTGAATTTTGTTTCAATTCTTATATAATACTCAGTTTATACTTTCTCTTCGTGATAATTTTATTAGATATTTTACGGAAAGTATTATGAATCGTGCAATTGAAAATCGAAAGTAATTTTAGTAAAAATATGTGCTCGAATTTTTAGGGAAATATTGTGAATGGTAAATTTGAAAAAAGTAGTCACAATAAACATTGAAAACTTTAAATTTTATTGGATATTATACTCGATATTCGTAAATTATGGATTTTGGATCGTACAGTATTAATAACTAAATTAAGTGTGTCGAGTGCATTTAGATAAGTATATAATTAGAACTATTAGTAAAAAAATAGTGCGTATTATACACGAGATTTAAAAGATGTATATTTTCGAATCGAATTAATCTACCGAATTCCTTTCAAAACGTATCTAAATTCCTTTATAAAAGTATATGAAAATAAGTTTAGCAAATAAAATAGTGCGTATAATACACGAGATTTTCGAATGTAAATTGTTGATAAAAGTAGCCAAAACTAAATTATAAACGTAGTATTCATTCAATTAAATAGAAAACAAAGTTTTTAGTCTTCAGAATGTGATTTTTTGGGGTTGTCAACACTTTACTGCAAATTCAAATCTTGCGTTAATTTTGGGACACCCTTTATAACAACATTGAGTAAATTTTATACGTATTATACTAGAGATTAAAAAAATATATCCATATATGAATAAACTAAACTGAAGTGAAAAATCAAGAAAGTAAAACAATCAACTATTTAATAATTTATTGTCTATTGTTACAAAAACCTAAAATAAACAAATCAATGAACAAATGAAAGAATAATTATCAAAACTAGTAATAAAGAAATGATATTGTAAGTATTAAATAAATAGTATTCTATAGTAACTTACTAAGACTGAAATTAAAGCTGTGGTCCATTTCGGGAAACTAGTTGCTTTGATTGGACCGATTGTTACATGATGTTACATTATGAAAAGTAGATTCAAAAATCAAGCAGGAAAATAATCTACATTTAAATTAGTACTTACGTAAAAATAATTTAGGTAAGTACCTGAATAGAACTTTTAGAAAAAATTAGTGATCGTGATTTTTTTTAAATATTATGGATTGTGTCAAAAATGAGCTGAAAAATAAATTTAAGTAAATTACAAACTTCGAGTTTTTACCCAAATTACAAATTTAACTAAAAAATGCGTATTTTATTCGAGATTTTATGTAAATGCACTAGATAATCGAATCGGAAATCGAACAGGAAAGTAGCCATAACTAAATTGCAAACGTCGTGTTCATTTTGGAAAGTATCTCAGTGCATCGAAGCGCATAAAGAGTAACAGTAATTGGAATATAAACGAGTGCAAATTGCTTTAACGAACGCCGAAGGGGGAAAAGAATATCGCAGCAATCCTAGTCTCGATTCATGTTTAATTAGAAATTATCCATCTCTTTTGCGAGGAACGGGAAACTGCTTCGCGGAAGTAAACACCTTTACATAAATTAGTTTAATTTGATTTGCGTGAGCTCAAGGTGATTACGCTTTAGTTCTACTACCACTCTTATCCTATTCGCACGAGGAAATGTGGTGGCAATTCAAGCTGTTTGCGTTTCTTTATTTATTAACTTACTTGCTGCTCTCTATTTTTCTCGCGCTCCGCGGATGGAAAAAGAAATTGCGAGGAGGCCAACGGCACGTTTCCCATTGTGCGAGGAAGAGATCGTTGATCTATCTTCTTCTGCTCGCACACGGGAACGAGCAAAAAATATATGGACACATAAGCCCGAGGAGGATGAAGAAGAGGAGGTGGAGGACTACGAGGAGAGGAGGAAAAGAGAGAAGGAAAACCCGTCCACCCGGCTCAATGCGGCCATCCATCTCCCATGCATAAGCTCCGCCAGATAAACGCAAGAAGTGGAAAGAAAGGAAGCAGACATATACACAAACACAAAGAATGAAAGAACTTTTTTTTTCAGTTATTTTTTTTTAAATTAAATAAAATTTATTCAAATTACGTACAGAATTTACGTTTCATTCAATATATATATACGTATTAAGCAAATACTATATATATCTTCTTATATTTTCATTCATGTATATACACAGATAATAGAGAGTATCAATAATCGGTAGTAATCCCAATATATAGTTATTTACACAAGGGGTGCTTTGGAATCGCTCATATACATATATAAATCATTACAATGTTTCAATATCATTAAATCGTTACAATTATAATTGTTAATCATCTTTAGTCTTCGGAAAAATATAATTTAAATATTTATTATACACAGTATTTACAATATATCTCATATAGATTTTTTTTTATTATTCATTTATTTAAATATATATATATTTAATTTAAGTAAGTAGTTTTAGGAATCATGTGATGTCTCGCGTCTTTTCTCACTCGGTCTTCCCATAATTATATAATTCATCTCACAGGAGGGGAAAAGAAACCAAACCTTAGAAACTAGATACAATCGTTGTTCAATTTGTGACTCTACGCAAACTTAAAATAACAAAAAAAAAACAATAATACTATTGTAGGATGAAAGTTTACGAGTACAAAAAAAAAACGAAACCCGTCTTAGTTAATTAGTCGTTATGGTAATAATAATAGTACACTAGTCGAAACAAATAAATAATAATCAAAAAAAAATATTTACAATATGTTACAAGTCGAGTGGAAACCAAAAAGTTTAATTATAATAATATATAGTTATTTAAATATCGGAATTAGATAAATTCGTTAATTATTTTCGCTTTATATTATATTTTTATATATATATTTAATAATATTTCTGGAATTCTCGATATCAGTCCGTTCAGTTTTCACTTATATAACAAAAAAAAAACCGTTCGTCTCTCTTTACTTTAGAATTATTCAGTTCACTTTTCATTTAATATCACATAACATTTTCACCATCGATTCTGCGAACGTCTCCCGCTCCATGCCTAGAAGTCCACGTCCATGTTGAGTGGGACACTGTAACACACAAAAAGAAAACGTTTATTATTATATAAAGCAGTTGATGTTTGAATGAGAGAAGAAAAAAAAAGTAGAAACGTGCCCGGCCTCGAAAATGCGCCTTTTAACCTGCATTTCAATAATTCCTCTCTCGTTTTTTCTTCTTCGACGTCGTTGACTTTCCTACCCTTTTTTCTTCTTCCTCTCCCCTAGGGTAATAACAGGCAATTCACGTAATACCATTATACACTCTTCCTATGCTCTGAGCACAGAAAACGCAACAATAGGAAACCGTTTTTCCAGGAAACCTTAGTGATATTGAACATACTAATTCTGTAGCCTTGAAGAAAAACTCTCCTCCCATATATTTTTGCATTATTTAATGGGATACAAATAGTCGTAGTTTAACGCAATTCTTTGTCCCATTTCCTTCGGATCAAAGTTCAAGGTCAATTAAAATCAGTATGTTAAGTGTTTATTATGTTTTGCGCTCTCAATTAGAATTAAAAACGAGTACGACGTATGATGCAAGTCGTAAAAATAGAGTCATTTGAGTAATATTTATTGAACCATGTGTTTGGATCAAAAAAATAAACTTTAATTGAAGCTAATTTCACGAATAGAAATTTATACAAGAATTAAAATTTATTGCGCTAGAATATATTATTTTATGTTTCGTAGTTAAGCAGTTGAATTACAATTTTATTTATTTTAAGAGTAGCAAATCTTAAAAACCTTTTGACCTCTGGTAGTTTTAAGAATAAAAAATATATATAAATTAACATTTATTGCAATTTTACAACAATTGAGAATATATGATTGAAATCTATCAAAAAGTTACATAGTTAATCAGTTGAATATAGGGGTCACCCATTAATATATAATTAATAACTAATAAAATTACAATAAAATTTCTGCAGCAGCGAATCTTAAAGAACTTTTAGCCTCTTGTAATTTCACGAATAGAAAATTGAATAAGGTCTTAAATGTATTGCAAGCATATTTCATAGTTAAGCAGTTTGATAGATTTTTGGAGTAGCAAATCTTAAAAACCTTTTGATCTCTGGCAATCTCAAGAATATATTGCAATTTTATAGCAATTCACGAGAATATATGATTGAATTCACGTATAGTTAAGCACTTGGATGGGTGACCCCTTTGCAAATTCATAGTTAATGGAATTTCATTTTAGTTTATGCAGCAGGAAATCTTAAAGAACTTTTGGGCTCTTGTACATCAATGGGAAATATATATTTTAACAAACTTGACATTTCATAATTAACCATTTGATTGGATGAGCCATTTGTCAACGATTTGGCATAGAGCAGTAAAAACGCAAATTAAGGATCTTTCGGCTGCTAGTAAATTTTTACCAACTAATATTATTATCATTTACATATAGTACTTTTTTTAAATAATAGTGCAAAGAGACAAATTTCTAGGACCTCTTGGATTATTATCAAAGATAATTAGTTTAAAATAATGTAACAAAGAGTTTCAATTCTTTCTTTTCTTTTTTTACATCTGACCGAATTGGATGTGCTCTTATGGATATTAAAGCGATTTCAATTAGTTCAATTCGGATGAGAGGAAGAGAAAGAGTGAGAGTGTTGTTGGATGGCTCAAAAGATCATAAAGCCGACTAGGGAGGGAGAACGATGAAGTTTAAGTGGTTAAGTTGTTTGTGAGCGTTCGGGATCGTCAAGTTATCATTTATTCAGATTGAATGATTGCGAGCGTCGGAATCGTCCCAGAATTACAAAATCGATGTTCATGAAAAACGCATCAGAAAACAACAGGACGAGGAATAATTTCATTTCGAATCGAGTCGTGACTTAAATAAGTAAAATACAAAAGAAAAATACAATTCAAGTTACTTTTTTTTTTGCAGAAAATCGACGTGAAACAAAGCTGAAGCTGTTACATTTTTCATGAGCATTGGATCAGAAAACAATTCGATTATTAATTTCAAATAATTTAAACACACTTTTGTCCAAAATGTGCTAATAAAAATTATTAAATTTATAATTTCTTATAATTACATAATAATTTCGATAATTAAAATATAGTGTAAATAGACAAAAAATTATTCTAACTTTCTTATGAAAAAATCTATGAGTGTGGAAAATGAAATAGTAAGAAAACAACGTAGTTTCTTCCATTAATATTTAATTTGTGATCAATTTAATTACGAGCAGTGGAAAACTTCTGGGAATACGGAAAATCGATGCCTAATGGAAAAACAGTAATAATTACACGACTATTGGATCGATACTTGGTTTGAATAAGTGATGCAAGCAGCGTTTAACATAAAAATACTTTCAAAGTAACATATGTTACATAGAGAGAGAAAAAAGTAAACCGAAGGTAGGAAAATTGCTTTCCCGTGTTTTTCCTTTAGAATTGATTGCGAGCTTCGATAATTAAAGATAACTATCCCAGATGTATAATCGATTTTTGATGTGAAGGCAACGCCGGGGGCAGCTGACTTCTTGCTGAACCAAACGGTTCAACGTTTTTGGTACTTTTGTTGTTGAACGCAGAAAGTCATTACGTGAAAGAGAGATGGCAATCGGGTGAAATAAATAAAAGTTTATATGAAAAGTACGGGGCGATAAGCGATCGTCGCTGGGGTGGTTGGTTATCGGGATTGGAAATCACCGGTTTAATGGGACATGACGAGGAGGGCCCGTGCGTATTTAGCGACGCGTATGGATGACGGAGAAGTAGAAGAAAAAGGAGGGCCTACGAGGGCCCCACACAATGGATGCGGTCGTGGAGTATTGTTCGGAAAATGCAAAAACCGATAGATCAAAAGGCGCCGTTCCGATTCCTCGCACACATCATACAATATATTTAATTTCACGCCGAGATGAACTGTAGGACTCTGCGAAGGGAGTTCCAAAAAGGGAACGGAACGGAGGGCCACCACCTAACAATGTTTGCATGCAAATGCAGTTGGTCCCCATTATCATTCATCGTTTTCAATTTTACATGCCTGATCAATCCATCATTTTGATGAAAAAGCATTTTTTTGTATGCAGTAAATGTACACATTTACTTCTTAATATTATTGAATAAAACTGTTACTAAGATAAATAATAATAATTTAGTAAATTTGCACATCAACTAAAATTGTTATTTTACTGAAAAGTCCCTACTTTGTTCGTATATGTCAAGTAAATGCATACATTTACCGCCAACTAATATTATTAGATCTAAAACTAATATTAAAATAAATCATATAAAAAATATGCATCAATTGAAAAATACATATTTACTAGTAATTTTTCACATCAACTAAAATTGGTATTTTAATATCATAGTAAATGTATACATTTACTAAGTAATATTATTAAATTCCGAACTGTTATTAATAGAAGCATACATTCAAATTAAATATAATAAAAGCGAACTTATAGCAATGCATAAATTCACATTCTCTAGTAAATATTCACATCAACCAAAAAATCTATAAAAATAAAAGTATTTATTACTTTTTTAAATCATTAATAATTTTCACGTAAAATACTGTAATTAATAGCATATAACTTTTTTTTTATTATTTACTTTATAACGTTTCTAAAATTTAAGCATTTTAACTAGTAAATGTGTACTTTAACTAAATTTTATAATTTTACAACAATATATCAATAACAAATTCTACATTCAGAACGAATTTGGTCGATTTTTATAAATTATGAATAATGAATCTCAGGTCCAAGAAAAGGAAGTATTGATGTGAACTCTATTACAAAAGCAAGGGACAAGAGAATCCTTTCATCGTCTTTATTCGTAACCCTTTAATAATAGAGCCCTGTAGTTTTGAGAATTTAATAAACTGTATGTAATTAAAGTACCAAAACTAATTACACTTTCGACTAGATTATCCCGTGGACTCTGGCGAAAGAGAATAGGAAAGCGCGCACGCCCTTAAACTTCTGGACTCGCGTGATAATTGCGTTCCAGGGATTACCGCCTTCTGTTTTATGTTACTACACCTTCCACCAAACCATGACTACTCTACTCTACTTCTCCGTATATATATATTTACAGAGAAAAAAAGCGAGCAAGGGTGGAAGAAGTAACAAAAAAAAACTGAACCACCCTCTTTGACTGTAATTGTTATTGATGTCCCTGCACCAACTTTCAAATCCAATTTGTATAACCCCTCTAGAAACGAAAATATATACACACACACACAGCATACAAAAAAGTACCGAATTTCCCCATAAAGCAATTGCCTTATGTACTGTGTGCGTTATTTCCAATTAACTTAATCTCAATGATAAAGTATTACGCGTTTCAAAGATCAAAGCCATATTGCGCCCTTTACTACATCAAATACGATCGCGTTTAGTTCAACATTTCAAAATTTATTGCCCTAAAGACTTTCATCGATTACATCAGCAAAATTCTATTTGCACGACAAACGCCCAATAATAATTAATATTATATAAACGCAAACATCAAATCATAAAACTTATAGAAATTATATAAATTCCTTTGATAATATTAATCATCATCTTGAATATACAAAATAATTTGCAATATAAATCTTTTAACATGACTTGGGTATACAATTTGGCTTCAAGAAATACAAGACGATACATCTGAAAACACAGTAATTTATCGATTCGTTTATGAGGTTTCCAACGAGATACAATATATGTATCGTGTTAATTAAGGAATCTCAGCTGGAGAGATGTTCCAGATCTAAATACCAAGATTTTTTTCTTGTTAATAGTTAATATATTGGGGCTTTTTTAATTGCTAATAAGGTTGGAGGGTTTCAGGTAGAAGAAAATGCCTATAGAGTGTTGAGGGTCTCGTATTTATTTTGTTTCTTCTGGGAAGTTAATGAACGCAATCAATTCTTCTAAATTAGAAGAAAACCCATCTAGTTATTTGTTTGATTTAATGAAACGTTCCGCCTTCGCCCTCCAGATTCCCATCTAACTAATTTATTTCCGATGGATTTTCAATCAGTCGTTTTAATAGAAAAATATAAATAACAA